TACAGCTCATGAAAACCCAAAATGCCTGTCCCAAAAAATTAGCATATCATGAAAAGGTTCTCTAAACAAGCTATTAACCTAACCATCTGAATCAACGACGTAACTCTAAACACCTGCAAAAGATTCCTGAGGCTTTTAAAAACTCCCAGCCTTGTTCATTACTCAAAACCGCAATCATGGGTAAGACTGCCGACCTGACTGCTGTCCAGAAGGCCATCATTGACACCCTCAAGCAAGAGGGTAAGACACAGAAAGAAATTGCTGAATGAATAGGCTGTTCCCAGAGTGCTGTATCAAGGCACCTCAGTGGGAAGTCTGTGGGAAGGGAAAAGTGTGGCAGAAAACGCTGCACAACGAGAAGAGGTGGCCGGACCCTGAGGAGGATTGTGGAGAAGGGTCGATTCCAGACCTTGGGGGACCTGTGGAAGCAGTGGACTGAGTCTGGAGTAGAAACATCCAGAGCCACCGTGCACAGGCGTGTGCAGGAAATGGGCTACAGGTGCCGCATTCCCCAGGTCAAGCCACTTTTGAACCATAAACAGCAGCAGAAGCACCTGACCTGGGCTACAGAGAAGCAGCACTGGACTGTTGCTCAGTGGTTCAAAGTACTTTTTTCGGATGAAAGCAAATTTTGCATGTCATTCGGAAATCAAGGTGCCAGAGTCTGGAGGAAGACTGGGGAGAAGGAAATGCCAAAATGCCAGAAGTCCAGTGTGAAGCACCCACAGTCAGTGATGGTCTGGGGTGTCATGTCAGCTGCTGGTGTTGGTCCACTGTGTTTTATCAAGGGCAGGGTCAATGCAGCTAGCTATCAGGAGATTTTGGAGCACTTCATGCTTCCATCTGCTGAAAAGCTTAATGGAGATGAAGATTTCATTTTTCAGCAAGACCTGGCACCTGCTCACAGTGCCAAAACCACTGGTAAATGGTTTACTGACCATGGTATTACTGTGCTCAATTGGCCTGCCAACTCTCCTGACCTGAACCCCATAGAGAACCTGTGGGATATTGTGAAGAGAAAGTTGAGAGACCAAGACCCAACACTCTGGATGAGCTTAAGGCCGCTATCGAAGCATCCTGGGCCTCCATAACACCTCAGCAGTGCCACAGGCTGATTGCCTCCATGCCACGCCACAATGAAGCAGTCATTCATGCAAAAGGATTCCCGACCAAGTATTGAGTGCATAACTGAACATGATTATTTGAAGGTTGGTATTTGTTGTATTAAAAACACTTGTATTTCATTGGTGGGATGAAATATGCTAATTTTTTGGGACAGGCATTTTGGGTTTTCATGAGCTGTATGCCATAATCATCAGTATTAAAACAATTAAAGACCTGAAATATTTCAGTTGGTGTGCAATGAATCTGAAATATATGAAAGTTTCATTTTTATCATTACATTATGGAAAATAATGATCTTTATCACAATATGCAATTTTTTTGAGAAGGACCTGTACTAGTATTTCTGATTTTCTGCTTGTTGTTGAAGCTGACATCAGGGGTTGTTTGATTTTTTTCCACACATCTCATCTTTTTGCTTTCCATCAAACGTGTCAGCAACAGTGTTTAAGCACTCCTTCAGGACTGTCCCGTCACTAAATTTTTTTTTTATTTTGCCCCTAAATCCACGATACCTTGAGTGAACACTCAGCAGCTGCTGGGCTGTAACAGTATTTGTGGTGAGGAGGGTGGATCTGTCATACTGGGCTTGCAGTTCAGTTAATTTACTGATCTGCTCGACTTCAGCAGATCACGATGCTCAAAAGAGATGTCGTGAAGAGCGCTTCATGTTGCCACATTTAATTAATGCGACCGTTTTGGAGCACTTGATGCAAACAGGCTTTGATCTGCCTGCCGGAAGAATGAACATACATGTCTCTGTCCATTCATCTTTGAAACAGCAGTTTTCAGCATCCATTGTTCTTATTTTGGAGCACGACATGCTGTCGCCTCTGTCTCTTCTCCGCTCCAGTGAGCTCGCTGCAGTGGCCGTGCAGGAAAAACTAAAGGTTTGACTATTACCACTATTACCGTAACACCTGAAGTAGAGTGAACCTCCAAAACACACCTCCTGCAGCTCTGCTTGGCTCTGCACCCAAGCTGTCTATTGCTGGAAAAATGCTCCATGAAAATTATCTCTTTTCTTGAATTTACCAGACTGGACTAGAGTTGCATTCAGGACCAAAAAAATCCGATCCAACCCAGCCTGCAGTCAAACCCCACCCGACCCGAATAATTAACAATAATTACAGGTCAGAACCCGGAAAAAACCCTGGACCCTGGGATGGACCCTGCTCTGATACGTCTGCTTTGGGATCTCACCTGTTTGGGTCGTCGGCCGCACGCGTTCTCTGAGCGCAGCGGCTGAGTGAACGTCCATTTGTGCAATGATCACTTCCTGGCAGTACAGTCCAGCTGAAGCTTAACTGAACTTTTTACCTGTTTCAGGGCTGGTCAGCTCGCAGTGAAATGGCTGTGTACGGCTGATGAATGTATGGCCGGCTATGTTATCATATAATTGGATTGTGGCTGATCCTGACCCAATCAAAAGCCCGACACCGACCCGGCCCGCCCATCCAGCACATTATCATGGTCCGGCCCACCCCAAATTCGGGTCCGGTGGGGCTGGGCTTAGGGCTCGGGTTAGAAATGACAGTTCTAGATTGGGCAAGAGTCTGGACAGAACCATCACTTGGTCCCAGTGGGGATGCCTGAACTAAAGGATGACTCATCTCTCAGTTCCTGCCTCAGGTCTTTGCTGGTTGTTATGGTTTCTAAAAGATTTAACTTTTAGATACTGCTTTTCTTTATTCTGTAGTAAACACTTGTTTTTGTTCTTTGTAGGCCTTATTATTCTTTTGACATTGATTTGTCCATTCTCCCAATGTTTTAAGAATGCATTGCACAATACGCCACCATGGATAGAAAATGAGAATCTTGCTTCTTGGAAACAAAATCTCAAAGAAGTAGAGGAGGTTTAAAAAATGTTCACAGTGCAGTAGGGCTCCTCATTTTGTTAATAAATTGTGGCTTTCTTGAGTTTACCTTGTTGAAATGGAAACATCCACTCTCCACATAAATTCTTCCAGTGTGGGAAGGTGAGGATCTTTCTGCGAGGAAGCTGCTTCCAGAGCTGCACGACTGAAAATGCAAAAACAATGTAAACAAAAAGTTGTACCTGCATGCATCACTGTCCTAATAAACTTAAGACATCTAAAGAAAAAATTTAGTAGAGTGAAATTTGTCGGCAACAAGTGAATTACGCATAAAATTCAACATACCGATTTCCAAAAACCACACTGGAGAAGTCTGTGATGAAGTCTTCAGGTATCCTAATGACAAAACATGACACAAACAAGGATTGCAGTGTTTGTTAAAGAAGCAGCCGGTGTATGAAAGTGTATGTATCGTGAATGAAAGCAGAAAGAGGGTTCTTACTTCAGCTCACTTAGATCTTCCTTAAAGGCCTAAACACAAATAAAGGTTTAATTATAAAATCAAGAGAAAAAGAAAGTACACCTCCATTTAATTCTAGGGTTTTGGACACCAGGACATAATAAAAAATACATCTGTTCTTTACCATGTTACACAATAATAAAGTCATATCAAGTTTAAAAAAATACACAGTAGATTCCATCATGTCATTATTTATTAAAACAAAACTAAAATGGAAAAAAATGTGTGGAAAACATTAAATACACGATGTATCATCATCAGTGTGATCACCTCTATCCACCTTATTCCAGGGGGCTCTACTCTATAAATGATTATGGGTACAACTTCCTGTCAGACCAGAAGCAGCAGTAAGTATTGGTAAACCATGGTAGTGGAACACAGACCATGGTGTATTTGAAAATAATTGACATCAGTTTAGCTGAAAAAAACACAGATTTTATTTTGTTCACACTTATTTAACAAATAAAGGTTTACTGAAATAGTCATGCTGAGTTCAGGTACCTGCTGTGTTCACGGCTGCACGAACAACAAGACCAAACTAAATCAGTGGCTACAACAACAGTGTTTGGAACACGGACCCAAAACAAAGAGTTCCTGTGAAAAGTGCTATGTTTTCCATTGTCTACCTACAGATGAGGAATTAAGAAGAATGTGGCTGAGAAATGAATTTAAAGAGACCACCCAAAACGCTGTATGTGCGCTCTTTTTTTCTTTCTTACTCTCAGTGAAGGCGGATGCTTTTTCCTCCTGCTCCTTCCCCTGCTTCTGCTCTTTGTCCGGTGAACCCTATTGGAGCCTCTCTTTACACATTTTCCAAATTGTAAATCATGGATCTGGTCAGCTGGTCTCAACGCAATTGATCAAATTTTCTCAATGAGAAGACAGGGCGAAGGAGAGCCCTCCTGCCCTGACAAGACACTTGCAGCTGGGTACACGATGGATTCCTGGGGGCAGTGGACGATCGTGTGTCTGTCCATATTGTCGGTTGAGGATGTAGAAGACGCGTACATAATTGATTTATGATAACAGGATTTCTGCTTTTTGGAGTTGGTGGTCACCTGGCATATTGACAAATTTGAAAAACGTCGGCAGCTGTTCTGGCCATTGTGAAGCTGCTTGTGTGAGGGGATGTGCCGAGCTATTAACACTCAGACTCAGATGCTGTGTGAGCTGAGCCGTAAGCTGGACACCATTCTTGCTGAGAATCGCAGGCCATTTGTTTTTGTTTTAACTTTATTGCCTCAAAATAGAAAAAACAACAGCAATTTACAGACATAGAAAAATAAATCAGAATAACTAAACATAAACAAACAAACAAAATAAAAATAAAAAACCCTGCTGAGATTGGGTTCGGGAAACACCTATCAAAACAAACAAACATGCAGAATCAAGCAACATACAGATTTTAGTCAAATAAAATAGACCGTCATGACCATCTTTGTAAAAAAAATATCTATTTTCATTTGTAGTTAGGCAGTAAGACGCTCCATTGTATAGACACGTTTCAATTTTTGTATCCACTGAGCAACAGTTGGTGAGCAGGGCTTAATCCAGTTTAGGGTAATAGTTTTTCTTGCTACTAACAACAGAATGTGCAATATGTAACATTGATCTTTAGTGAGTAAATCCTTGGGATATATGTCCAACAGAAATAGGAGAGGGTCCACGGGAAGATCTGTTCTTAGAATGTCCTCAATCTTCTGTTTGATGTTCTCCCAGAAGGTCTTAAGTTTGGGGCAGTCCCAAAAGACGTGTGTGGTCACCGACCATATCACAGTGCCTCCAGCATTTATCTGTAATTGTATTCTTGGAAATGAAAGTTTTTAAAGGAGTTTTAAAAAATCTAGTTTTCATTTTCCAGTCAAACTCTTTCCAGATCTGGTTCCCAATCCCATGATGGCATTGAGAACATACATTTTCCCAAGTTTCGTCTGTTAGTATTACATTCATTTCCAGTTCCCACTGTTGTTTAATATATAATGTATTATCTGACAAATTTGTCAACAATTTTCTATACATTACAGAGATTAATTTATTTGTTAGTGTTTGCTTTCAAGTACATGTATAAAAAAGCTTCAATATCAGTAGGTTCTTTCTTAATATTATCCCATTCCACGTTTTGTTATATAATTTCTAATCTGCAGATATCTATATAGATCACCTGAAGGCAGAGAGAATTGATCTTGCAATTGAGAGAATGATTTTAGTGTCTGCCCATAAAACAAATGGTCCAGTACAATCAAACCGTTATTTGCCCACCTTTTAAAGACACTATCTGAAATATATGGTATATATTCAATGTTACCCACAATCGGCATGGCACGCGATAGTCCTGTAGTACCTTTAAGTCGTTTTTGAATTAAAGTCCATGTCTTCAGAGTTTGTAGAATCAAGGTGTAGTGAGCTAGGGTCGGTTAGCTTCAGTTAGCTTCACTACAATCTATATTTAATAACGGGTTCTCTCTTTTTTGAGCTACTTGACAGATATGTGACAGAGATACTGTGTGGGAGATGGTCTAATCAGTGACGTGAGACGTTAATTTTCTTTGACCCATCAAAATGAATGTGGTCATTTATTAACAGAATCAAAGTTTAACATCAAAACATTGTACACGTGATTATTCTGATTGAATGCAATAACACAGCTTAATTAATGAGCTTTACAATGAGAAATCATACGGCCATGATTTCTCACTTGCAACTAAAATACAACAGACATATCTGAAAATATCTGGATTAATTACTGGCAAGATAGAAGAGTTTTAAAGATGGGGAATGAAGGAGTTTAAATGGAGAAGAAAAAGATGGATGAGGATGTATGTCTGTAGACCAGAACAACACGCTCCTTTCAAGCGCAGTTCGCCTGCGGTACACTGGTAGTGAAGCTCATGACGACTCTTTACCTTTGGCGGAGGATGAATCCGCGGCGGTCAAGAGGTCCCTGGTACGCTACCTTTCAGCGTCTCCTCAGGGCGACTGCGACTCGGCAGAAGTCGTGAGAACTCGTTCCACAGAACAAACCTCCTCAGAAGTTATAAGGCCTTCACCGGGTGGAGCCACAGCGAGGCATCGTGGCTCCTACAGGAACTCCAGCCGAACTTCATCAGTACCAGAAGAACTTAACGGGACTCTGAGAAGACTCAGAGGAACTCAGAACTTCTGTTCTCCTGTGCTCCCAGAACTTTGGTTCAAGTGTAGAACCCCGAACTCTAGGAAGTGTCGACTTTTAAAGAGTTCTGTTTCCGGTCCCATTTGGGAAGTCCTGATTGGTTGAAAGAACCAACAGGGGTGTGGTTTTAGTGACGTAAGAGGGTTACTACAAGTCAGAAAAACAGCGGAGATGTTTTAGGAACAGACAGAGAAATGTTTAGGAGCAGACAGAGAAATGTTTTGGCGAAATGACAGACCCCAGGTGCCAGCTTCTCTTGTTTCTGTCTGAGGTTTAAAAACATGACAGTTCGTTCCAATAAACTTGTTTGCGACTGTCTCCGACTTTTGACCGACATCACTCCTTCTCATTTCAGACAGAAGATCAAAAAATGCATAATTACTTTGTAACAGACATCTAACTTGATTTCTACTTTGAATGAGGATTAAAAATCATTAATACTGTTTCACAGTTGATTTAAAATGAGTAGTTCACTTCAACATTTAAAATGGTTTGAACTAAACACACTTTTGGATTTTCAAGACATTGTAAAAATAGTAATAAAAAAGAGAGTGTTCTTTCAATTGATTAGTGCAGGATACAATTAGAAAGTCTCTGGATGAGCTTAATTTGTATTTCTGGATTCAAATCAATGAAATAACAGTTTCTGTCCCATGAAGGTCTTCAGGGTCAGGTTTTGACCTGAGGCTTAGTTCACTACAGTCCCCCCTTTGGAAATCATCGCCTGTCCATGGGGATGAATTCCAACATGAACTTACGCCTCCGAATGTCCTTGAGCTTGATGTAATCCAGCAAGAGGAAAACAAAAGTCAAAGAAGGTAATCCCATAATGTTGTTGGTAATTCCATTGTAGCAATGCTTTAACCCCTTGGAAACAAAGTCTGTAATCCATTGGAAAAAGTCATATAATCTACAACGGTAAATCCACAACGATTGGAGTTGTTGATTAATCGGCATGTAGAAGATACCCTTCGATTGAACTGAAGATGTGGCCACTGGATGCAGGTTGGAGACCAACGTCAGGATTGCAGGTCTCCTCCAGCGAAGGTCGTCGCTGGGTGACGTCCAGTGGGTGCCGTTCTGGTTCTATGTGTCATGCAATTAAGTGGTTTAAGGTGGGCTTATGAAGGGGATTTTACATAAGGCCTTAACCTATATGCACCTGGTGTGTAAGCTATTATGATTGGGAACAGTTACAGCTACCAGTTAAGGGGTGGAACATGCTGAAAAGGGTAGTTATAGGGGTCTATACCTATAGAAGGGTGTTCCAACTATACCACCATCGCTAACTTTGTCTATGTTAGACTTACATGGCCACTATAGCTGGTTTACTTGTCTGTTGCCTTTTAGACGAACGACTTGAGATTGGGTGTTTGGTTTCCCCATAAATGTTTTTGGAGTCTATGGCGAGACTCATCAAAAAGAATTAGCTATCCCTCCGAATAGAATTGTTCGAGTAGGTTCGGCTTGAAGATGGTGAGACCCATGTAAGTTATGGTACTTAAGGTAGCATTGACTACATTGACTCTTCAACGATTAGGTTTTAACGAGTGAACTGCATGTTGGCATAGTTAAAGTCCTTTACAGTCTCCAACTAAAATACATACAAAACTCATTCTTACCTCAGAAACAAATATCAAAACCAAATAAACAACGTTTCAACATCGACAAGAGTAGTGACTAAGAAACTAGAAACATCGTTTCACTGCTCCACCTCACCCTGGTTGTCAGATTCAATCATGCTGTCCCGTAGGAGTTGTTTCTTTGCACACCTTGTGTGGTTTAACCTGGTTTCAATGTACCCATTTAACAATTGGCTCTTTTTTGGCCTTTA